ATAATTTTTTACGATCCTTTATTTTCAAGCATTTTAGGCTCTACTTGTATTAAATCGAATTTAGGAACAAGTTCAAGACTATTAAGGAGAGATTTCAACTATTCTTCGAATAGTTCAGGTTGGGAAATAAGGCACAATCACAATTAATAATAATTTTTATATTTTTTTCGGTTGTTTTTTTCTTTCTTAGTTTTCTTTTCGCTGCATTACAAATATTTGTTATTCATCATATAAATTATGACAAGTTCTTTGTACATACACAAAGACATGTTGGTATGTGATGTTAAATTTTCTTCTCTTGCAAAAAAATAAAATGAAGAAAGAAAAGAAAATAATCTTACTGTTAACAAACGATAACGCTAGGATCAAACGAAAGTCGGAATCGAACAAGGAAACAAGTTTCATCATAACATCCTCCCGTCTTTCACCACATTCTCCTCGTTATTCAAGTTATTCTTATTTATTATCATTATTTTCAATCAAATATTTTTATTTTCATTTAATTTAATTTTTATTCTTTTTTTGGCAATATGTACAGTTTTTAATTATTCATCACCTACTTAAATAGTTTTTTTTTCTTCATCTTCTCACATTCTTATTAGTTTTTCTTTGCTTTTATACACAAAAAAAATACATTAAAAAATAAAATAAAATGAACAAACAGAAAAAAGAATGTAACACAACACAACAACGAATTATACAAAAATATAATTAAGTGATCTTTATTTATTTTTGTTTTGCTCACTGGAATGGGTTTTGGCCAAGATTATCAATAATTGTTTTCCTCTTCTTCCCTTCAACTTTTCGTCTTTTAGTTACTTAGCTAATATACAAACAAAAAAAAAATACTTAAAATAGCGATTATTGATGGAGAAAATGAAATAATTGCAATTCGTAAAATGGACGTACGAAATGTTTTTATCTCAAGAGTAAAATCGATACGAACACACGAACAAAAAAAAAATAATTATACATTAATAAAAAAAAATAATAATTAAAATAATCAACAGCAGTGGTAAAACCGTTTGAATCACAGATTTAATAATAAAAATAGTTTATTCCCTTTTCTTCTACTACAAATCACTTTCATTTTCAACCCACTTTGCACGAAAAAAAAAAACAATAATTTAAAGAAACAAAAATAAACTAATTAAAATGTAATTCAGTCATATTTTAATATTCCTTTTCTTTACCTATTTTAAGCTTCAGAGGTAGCTTCAACTATAAAAAAATTGATTATAAATTAAAACGGATTTTAACTAATCGTTTCACGCCCAAAAAAAAAAATAATAGAAGTAAAACAAACAAAATATATAATAATACAAAAAATATACATTTTATCACTCCCGACACAACTACTACTCATCAACTTTTTGTACTCATTGATATACTGTTTTTTTTTTAATATATATATATTACATAGTATTTAGTAATTAAAAGAAAGTTGTAGGTAAAATGAATAAAACTCGGAAGCATCCCTCGCGTTTCACCTATTTGACGTCTCATTCGGATGTAGTTGTGCAAAACTAAATGTACATTGAAAATAGAAATAAAATAATATGGTTATGTACATTAAAAATGAAAACCTTACGTAATAACAAATCTTTGGTACAAAACAAAAAAAAAATAATAATAATAATGTAATAATTACTAATAATAGTGCAAAGTGATTCGGTTACGTAGCAGTAGTTTTCGCCTGAACCGAAGTTGCTCTGCAAGTAAAACATAAATAACGATTGGACGAGAATTAATGCTAAATTAATAATACTTATTTTAAAAAATATTAAAAAAAAAATGATAAAGATTTAAAAATCCTTTTTTTNNNNTTTTTTGAGATCTTCTCTTTTCAAGGGACTTCCAACTGAAACGACGACGTTCAAGCAACAAATTATTTAAAAAAAAAAAATATATAAATAAAATAAAGACGTGATTGCACTTGAATTATTGTTACTTTGTCTTCAAAATAAAAATTAAATTAAATAAAAGCCACCTTCCGTTAACTAATTTTTCACTTGCTAAAATTGCACTTGGATCAACAATTTTTTTAAATTTATTACTACTCCTTCCATAGGAGTTCTCTCCTACTAATGGATGTTGGAAGTCCAGCCTTAAACATTGCATTTAATTATTTATTTTATAGTCAGTCTGAATTTAAAGAGTAAACTGGAAACGCGCGCACAGTTCCCACTCGGTAAGTATAAAAAAAAGGAAGGAAATTAATCGAAGGAAAATATTGTTTATAAATATTGTCCGTGTTGCGGTAATTTCACTCATCTTTTAGATTTGATGATGATTTTTTAATCATCGTCGTCGTCCTAGTATGGTATATTTTCTTTGTACAAACTTAAAATGCTAATACCAACGCCTGTATCAGCCAAATCGCTCTTTGACCAGGAACATAAGCTTCTTCTTGCCTTTGTAGGCGACCTTCATGTTCTCTATGAGCTGTGTGAACTGAACCTGACCGTCCTGGGCCAAGATGAAGGTGTCTCGAGCCTTCGTCAAGAAGTCTATGAAGTCACCGTAATGTCGCGGCGAAATGTGAGTGAGGCGCGAGTGTGTGGTGTTTATGTAAGCGGCGACCGCTGCTTCAAGCAGCTGTCGCAGCGGAGGTCTGTCGAATGATAAAGGTTTAACACCGGAAGTGCAACCTCGGGATCTGTGTGCGTGCGAGTGATGCTTGCAGCCATCCAGCGGCGCCGAACATGAAGACATCCCAGGTGCGGTCATGCTGCATCGTCGCAGGATGTCAGATAAGACGGTGGCGCACTGGACGTTCTTCACCAGAAGAGGAATCATGTTGGAGAGCTCCGTTTTACCCAAAGAGTGACTCAGGATGCATGCCCAATGGATATCGTTTATGGCGGGATGAGTATCCTAAGCGAGACAAAGATATTGATTAACATATTGATTAACGGATGATTCCAATTATATGATTCTTACTTGGTTATAAGCTAGATGGACGTTCTTCATGGCGAGCATAGCTAGTTTGTAGGCTCTGGCTGGGTAACCCCGATGCTCCATGTATCTGGCAATGGTGAAGAGCTGGGAGGAAGTCATGATGTGCGAGGCAGCATCTACCACGATTTGATAAGCCCTCTCGAAAGCAAGTGCTTCGTTCTCGCAGAGGGTAAGGGCGTTCAAGGCACAGTTTGGAGGATCCTGCACAATGAGAACAGAACAATTAGTATACTCATTACAATACGATTAAATGAAGTTAATACCTTCGTGGCGCATTGCAGGGCCAAAGTTCTCGCGCAGCCGGACAACTCTTCCTGCTGACTGAAGCTCAGGTTGAGTCTCATGATGGTACTATGCGACATGACCGTCGTTGCTACGGGACCCGTTGCTTCCGTTGCGGTGAAGAACTGATACCAGTTCTGCATGATGGAAATCAAGGCGTCGACGCCTACCTCCGTCGCGCATGTTACCAACCACCTAACCATTTCCCGGCGTCTCCAGTTCAACGACGCCAACGTCATCCGCATCACCTGCAGTCCCAATTCGAATGCGACGCTCAGCAGCGTCGGATGTCGTGGTCCGTTCTCCGGCGTAGCGAATCGGAACGCGTCCTGCGCCAACTTGAATAGATGCGACGAACTGTGGATATGGCGTTGCGACGACTCCAGCACCGTCCTCAACCTCATCACTTCTCCTGGAATTAAAGAAAAAAAAAAACAATAATCCCATGAACAAATGATACTAAGGAAAGTTGTTGAATCTCAATGTACCTTTAGATGCGCTCAACATAGTAGAGCTGAGTGTGCACTGCTGCGTCTCGATGTGCCCCAAAGTGAACCATCTGGGTGATCTGCTGATCATTAAGGAGCTGGAAGCGTTTCCTCCCATTGGATCATCGGAATCTTCGTGTTCTTCGAGCAGTGGCAATCGCATCGCCCTAAGACCAACTTCGTACGCTAGATCTGGATAATAATTGAGTAAAGATAGGAACATGAATCGCGCGAAGTTGTGCATGGGAATGCTCTCCGGATGGATACCGATGCCTAATCCGCTCGTCGGACCTCCCTCCAGCATGATTATTGCTTGTCGCCTGAGCACAGCCACCAGACCGTTGTCGAGCTCTATCTCCTGCAGTTTCGCGATCAGACGGTCTTCCTGTTTGCACGACTTCTCCTGCAAATTGATAGAAATCGGTTCCTCGTTTTGGTTTTCCTTACATTTTCATCTACCGATCAACGTCTTTTTCTTGTTGAGAAGATGACACTTACCTGTGCGTACAGTCCGATCGGCATTATTCGTTGCTGGCCGAGTCCGATCAAGGCAACTTCGAAGGCTAACGTAAGATAGGTTTCTCCCCTATCTCGAGATCCCACAACAGGAACATGATGAAACCTCGGTCTTAAATTACTGTGCTGATCTTCCATACCGACTATATCTAAACATTACAAAAAAAAACATCTAATTAGGTTGTTCGAACAAATCACAGGTGCTCATTTATAAATTGAAACCTAATAATATTCTAATTTCTATATTTTTTTAATTATTTAAAAAATATTGAATTTATTCTGAAGATTATTGGTACAAATAAAGAAGTAAATAGTACCTAGGTAACTTGGTGTTCTGGGCCTCTGATCTTCGGGAATGGCGGAAGCATCCGAAAGCGTGTCGAAGATGCAACCAATGGGATCCAGAGGGTGTCCGACCCAACCATCGGTATTTGCCGGTGCGTTTATGGAAGTCGTAGAACACGGAGCGGCGCTGCATTGACCTGGACATCGCGACGTGCACGGCTTCACGCTGGGGCCACCCTTCGAACTTCCGCTTCCGCTACTGCTGCTTGACGTTCCACTACCTCCACTGCTACCACTTCCACCTGCACCACCACCACCGTTACTGCTACTGCTGCTGCACTGCTGACTCTCGTGCCATTTCCTTTGAGCTACCAACTGTTGCTGCTTCATCGTTCTCACCACGGACACGGCCAACCGAAGCGCCGCTTCCATATGACCGTGGGAACGAAGTGAATCCACGCGAGCGGCACACAGTGGAATCGGTTCTAAACACACACAAAAGAGTGTAAAACAAAATGCATCGGTCGCAGGATCAAACGTTTCGTACCATTCCACATCGGCTGTCCCTGCGAGTTGAAGCTTCCGGAACTGGTGTTGTCCGGGATGTGCGAGCAATAAACATCGCTGGACAATATATTTTTTAGGTGCATATTATCCCAGGACATGCTTACTGCGTCCATGGCTCTGCGGAAGGTGATGACGATAAATTAATATAGTTTCAAGATTAGTCTTTAAAAATTCCACTTACCTATGAAATACTGTTCTAGGTAAAGCGGGTTGTGATGACTTAGAATGACTTCCTGATAATCTCATTCTCTTGTTCCTATGGCTGTAATCCGCGTCATCCTCGTCGGAGCTGCTGCTCGATGAATCGTACACTGGACGTCCTCGATCTCTATCTCGTTCTCTTTCCCTGTCCCTATCACGCCTCTCCCTGCGATCGCGCTCTCTATCCGCGTACCTGTCCCTATCTCTGTCACGATCACCATAGTACCTATCCCTATCCCTGCTCATCAAAAACTAAACAAACATACATCATCATTTCTTAATTCGCAATGATAAAAAAAAAATACTTACAGAATCTCTTTGCGTGTTTTGCTGCATTCGAAAGTCCGGATCTTCAAGAGGGCATACTTCGATATGAGTCCATTTTTCCAGAAGCACTTTCCACTGCTGCTTCTCGGGATTTGTACAATTGGGATTTAATACTATGCACACCCACAGGGAACCTTCAAAAGAAAGATTAATATAAAATAATAAAACAATTACTTAGGTCGTATCCATTTACCCAATTGATCCCAAAGTTGGCGGCATTTGTCAGTCATAGGCGTGCCCTGGTTGCGCCAAAGTTGCAACCTAGGATCTGATAGGAACTGTTCGGTGATTAAGGTCAGCATTCGGGCTCCGTTCGAATCTTGCGCCCTCAGCATCTCCCTCACCTATACAACAACACGATGAGCAAAACAGGATGATAACAATTGAATGATGATCATAGTCTTCGATATAGATAGTTTACCTTGGAGAAAAGCGAGTTGAGCTGCTTGTTGGCATTGTAATAGGAGCCCTGAGACAGGTACGATTTGACCTGTTCGCATACTTGCTCCTCGTCTAGATGCCACGAATGGTCATCGTCTGCGGAGGCTCCTGCAGTTGGGTCAGGGGCGCCGGGAATTTGGTTGATTTCGCTTCTCTGTTGCAGGATTTCATCGGCCAACTTTTGCGCCGTCGGCAACACCTCTGTATGGTGTTCCGAAATCAGGTACTGCACAAATTTCTGCAACTGTTGCCGATCCATTTGTAAGAGTGTCTCTGAAATGACAACGCATATTTTCACAAATCCATTTTTCAATAATTTTAATTGATTGTAGACACACATGATAAGATATATTAAACCGCAATTTTGAAAACATATAGTTCATCAAAGAACCGTTATTGAGAACCTAAGAAATTAGTCATCATTTTAAATTATTTCTGTATCTAAGTTATATCGTTATTTCGTATTCACCGATAATACTTGAGTAGCTAATCTATAAAAATATCCTACAAATTAAAGAACAAAAATATTCAAGTTTAGATTATTTTAATGAAACTTAATGGATACAATTTTTATAATATTTTAGAATGTATACATTCATGTCGCGTAAATTTGTTATAAATACTGTACATTATTTGTTAAAATACAAGTAGGTTTTCTAACTGTACGCTAATGTTGCACTACGCTAATGTTACGTATTTTAAGGGTAACAAAATATACAACGGGCAATAATAATATATTAGTTCTCGTTTTGTGCAGCGCGTTTGCACGATAAAAAGCGAATTAATAATGGTTGCGGTCTAAAACTGTTTGCGCACAGGATTAAAGAATAATAGCGTAATTTATTCGGACATTGTTCAAATAAATTAAATGAAACAAATATTAAAATGAAATCGTTAATCGCCGACGACGATAATTCGACACTGGCCAAAAGCCGAAAGTAATGCCGTCCGTAAACACGTCGCTCCGAACCTGATTGATAACCATACCACAATTGTCATCTACCAATGGTTGCATTGTTGCTAACTTGCGCAACAAAACAATGTTGTTGGAGCAATAGTGGTGGTGGTGGTAATTGTTGTTGACGAGGATGGTAGTGGTGGTGGTAATTGATTGTGGATGTGGGGTTTTATTTGGGGTCGCATCGCGGCACGGGACGATGTCGGAAGCGGGTCCGATCACACGGGGTGATGACATTAAACGGATATGCCGGAGCAGTGAGGACGGGGGCTGCGCGTTGTAGCGGTCGACCTCGACGGTTCCCCTTTAATAAATAATAATACATTCTGTGAAAGGGAGGGAAGGGAGGGAAGGGGCGGCGGCGGCAGCAGAGAGGTCCCGAAGAAGAGAGTCAGTCTGCTGCATCGCAATCAGATCCGCGCGCAGCGTTCAATACGGACAGATTATTAGCATAGCGAGGCCCTTTCATTTTCCTTCCCTTTCCCCTTCCTTCCGTTGCGAAGACGAAAAAAATCAACCAAAACAAAAGAAAAGAAGAAAAACTCGAATCGTTTTTCTCTTATTATTTGATAGTAGAAAATATAATAATAATGTGGAAGAGAGGAATTAGTTTTGTTGTTAATTTGATGCAAGGGCAGCGGAGGCTTTAAGTTTTAAAGGGGATGCGATCGAGGGCGACCGGTTGTCTGATCTCATCGTCTGCTGCGGCGGCGGCGGCGGAGGCGTCCCGGTCGATACTTTCTCACCCCTCCGCCAGAGCGTGTAGTGTAATATTACAAATTTTATGGGCAAAACTTTATAGTTTTTCCAGGGCAAATGAACGGCCCCAAACACCGTCCCGCCTCCCGTCGCCGGCCTTTTTGGCGCTGCCACCCCGAAGAGAGGCACATACACGTAGGGGTGCGATGCGGACTGCCGAGGGCATAGAGAGAGAGAGGAGTCCGTATAATACGAAATCGTTACAGCCTGCTCTTCTGGGGGGGCGCAGCCTCTCCTATACACACCAGACTCACCGTATACGTACACATCCCCCGTGACACAAGGTGTGGTTAAACTCATTGCTTCTCTCAAAGAAGATTGNNNNATGAGGGCGACGTTCTTCTGTGCGAGCATTAGAAGAAGCGTTAATAGCAAGCAAATGAGGCCTTTTAACTTGGGGTGAAGCAGGTGCAACCACACATGATATGCACGTGTTGTTTCGATGGTTATACAGGTGGCAATTGGGGGTGAGAGGGAGAGTGAGTGCGGCGCGGCGCAAAAGGGTCGTTGCTACTGCTGCGGCAGAGCACCGCCTGCCCATAACTCAAACCCGTCGCGGCCCACTTGAGGATAAATCCTCGTCCTGTCCGAAGGATTAGCAACATAAGGAACGGATGAAGCCAACAAAAAAAAAATACCGAAGGAAGCAGGAGGAGGGAAGGAAAAAAGGAACGGTACATCAACAAGTTCCTTAACCCTCCACTTGATCTGACCTTACGTAACACGGCCTAACCTGAACTCTGATTGTGCACGCACCAAAGGGCACGCTACATCGGATCCTTCACGAAATCCGACTTTTTATAATATCCTAAGTACATTTCCCAACAATACAGAATCAATTTAAGCCGATGAATCGATGGTTCTTCACGTTTTCGACTTCAATTTGCATATAATATATTTTCTCAATTTTTAAACCTACAGTAAACAATTGCGAGGAATATTCTTAAACCAAATATCCTAATCATAAAGACTAAAAGATATAATTTCAACCATACTATGATCTTTGGTGCGCCAATTACTACTTATGAAACTATGGTTGTTGTGTATTCTGTTTTCCCCTAAACTTTGGGGACGCTGTACTACCATAATGTTCGAGGTCCGAACAAACATTTTTTTTTTATGGAATTATCATTGTCATAAATTGTACTCAATTGCACTGGATTTTATTCATTATTGTCTTAGTTAACCGTTTTGAAACATGCTGATGTACCAACTTAGACATATTATGTCACTATATTTTATGACGTAATTCTTTAAATATTTGTTTAGGGATCATGTTTAGTGCCAGAAATAGTGACGTAATCATAAAAAAAAACAATAGTTGGCCAGAAATCCCTAAATTTCTAGACCCAACCAATTTTTAGACAACTTCGTCAACTGAATTAACATCGGATGGTATGGACTATCAAGATTCATCCCTTGATATACCAACAAAAATAAATGGTAATTCCTCTTTCCCGTACATTAAATTATTAGAATTAAAAAAGATTGAAAATTAAGAGATTTTCAAAATTAGTGCATAAGTTGAGAAGATACATTTTACGCAAAATATTTTTTGAAAATAACGAATCGAGCATAAAAGTAAATATCAACAAGGTAAACATAACTAATTTTATATAAACTTATATAATAACAAAGATTAAGTTCGTGTTTGCGCATATGAACTTGGTTTAAGTAGGTACGTGATTCGTTAGGATGAACACGAAGGGGAGCGCGTTTTTTTTTTTGAGATATTAAGAGTAAAAATGAATGTGATTACATACCTGAGATAGGAACTCGTAGTCGTACGCTCTCGGCGTTTCGTATCCGATATAGCGACAAGGCGACGACATGTTGGCACCAAAATATATCTCGGGTCTCGCAACTGCATGTCACCGACGTTATTTTACACCTGAAACATAAAACAAGTCATATATATATATAAGTGATTAGTTCCTTTTCTCACAAGCAAAATGATAACAGTTCATAGTAAATTGCATAAAACGTACTGCCATTTGACAAGTTACATGATGTGCGTACAGATAGTCTCCATGACTACCATAACTTGTTTATCAAGTGTATACAAGTTACTTGACACGTTTCGCGTATTAAGTTTTACTTAATGTTTTACAATTAAAAAATATAACTCTTTTTATTAATTTCGAAACTGTACAAGGCACATAAAATAAAAGAAGTTGTAAAATGTAAATCAAATTTTCGAATTTTCTCATGTTATCTACTGTGTATGTACTTGCTGAAAATTGTATTAGCAGAGAAAAGGTTTTTTTTTTTAATTTCAATTAGATGTCCGCAAGTTTTCAAGCAATTTGTGAGTGGTAGAAAGGGGAAAGATGTGCGCGGGACGACGTCTGCGTTGAGGGGTGCTGTGGGTGCTTGAAATAACGGCGTGTAGCGGCGATGCGGTGTGCGGCCCCCGCGATCGATGCGCGAACCCGACTAATTGACCGCAAATTTGAATTATTGGCCGCACGCTGAACCCTGCGTTAATTGCACTGAGCATGCGCAGTACCTATACGGTAACGTTACGTAACAAATGACGTAAAAAATGACGTTTGTTTGACATTTAAGAATAATCATATAAATGTGACTATTAACTAATCCTATGTATGCGCATAATTGGATTAGTAAGATTATGTGTAAGGGTTAATTGTTTAATAATTCCTATTTAAAGAATATCATTTATAAGATAGTTATATCAAGGAACAGTAGATGAAATAAATGTCATACTTGTCAAAAGTATTAACCCTTTGGGCACATTTGATGTAACAGAAATAACCTAAAGCTACTTCAATATTTATATGTCTTGAAATAAATGAATACTTACATAAAATCTACTTTTTTTTTTCAAATTACTCCATCACAAAAAAGTTCAAATGTATAACCAATTTAAGTATAACTTTTACTTACTATTTTTTTTTTTTGATAGATTTACTATTTTCAAAGAGTTGACTCAGCTGTAGTAAATGATTAATAGAATATATTAAAATGAAGTAAAATTAATGTAAATGAGATAAGTGAATCAATTGGAATAGTAAATACGGGAGGTAAAGTAGATGAGAAACGGTGATGTAATTAGCGAGCAAGCTTTTAGCATCATTAAAATATGTGCAGAAACGGGCTCAAGAGGAAGACGTCTGATGATAGATCAAGTAAGGTTAACGAAGTTAACAAGCTAATCGTAAATAGTCCTAAGAGTTTAGATAAAATTCTTAATTTGAATCTATATTGATATAAGAAACCTGCTAATATATTTAACATAGATATAACAATATTTGTTAATAATGAATCGACGTGCTTCACAGACAAAATTTGATGAAACAGTATTATTAAGCATCTTTTGGAGGCCCTAGATCAGAGGTTCACAAACTTTTTTTTGTGTCGTAGACCCCTTGCCATGTTTTTCGGTTTTGGGTAGTAAATTTATTATTTATATTGGGACATCTTTATAATTATTAAGATCTTTGCTCTGAGACTATCGTGGACCCCCATTTTAATTTCATGGACCATTTGCAGGTTGTCCATAGACCATTTTGAGAATCACTGCCCTAGATTAATATTATTTAAAGACCCTGGTCTAACACAATTTGGGCCCCAATTAATCAAAGTTTGGGTTAGTTGTATTTATTTTTTGACCACAAAAAGGGACATATAAAGAACATATTTTCCGTTTCGGAATAAAGGAATAGCATTATCTCATATTTGTTTGTTTTTTCGTTCGAATATATCATGTGTTTTAGTAAAATCTTGGCGCTCAGAATGCGGGGGTAACGCGTTTGCCAAGTATTTGTTTTGGTAATAAAATGGAGCATACGCGAGATTCCTTCATCCTCTTAATGAATGCGCATTTCAAAACAGTGGCCAGGGCTGAAGAGAACGAGACGAATGGATGATGAGGTGGCATTTCGAAAAACCCGAGCAAATATTTACACTGCCCGACACGGAGGAGAGAAAGAGAACCTTGGATCCGTGTGTTTTGGTTCATTACTTTTGCAATTATAATGTATGTAAAATAAACAAAATATGGACATGGCTAGTCGTTAAAAATATACGTGTACGTGTATAAGTGTAGGTACTGGGTAAATATATTATAATAAATGCAAATGCACCGAAGTCGGTGCAGAATGAGAGGAGGAGGAAGAGGAGGAGATTCTCGGCCTTGTTGCATCTGCGTGCCAAGAGATTTAAATAAATTTTTGCTTATGCAGAATGAAAATCGTATTTTTGGATAGAAACGAGGGGCGGCTGCATCGCACTTACCTATCAAAACTAACGGAAACTTTGAACTTCTGCGGTGGCTCCGGGGCTCCGCAAGGCAATGTTATCGTCGATGAAGACATCACCGTCACTACACCGCTCAAATGGAAGCCTGCAAAGAAAAATATAAATAGTTAATATGTACATTTTTTTCAATAATTATCATCACCAATCCTTTAGCAGCCAATTTTATGATCAATATACAAATCAATATCGAATTAGTTTATATTTAGTTTCTACCTAAAATTTTGACCTAAATTCAATGAAATTTATTTAATTTATTTAATTTGGTTTAAGTATTATATCCATCTGAGTCTAGTTTTGAGACTAAGAAAATATCTTCTTGGAAATTTGATGCAATTGAAATAGTTATAGCGAATGGAACGTAATGTGTATGTTATTATAAGGTAAGGTATAAATTGCAACGATTAGCACTGTTATGTGACGTGGAATTTGGGTTGCCTACATTCGTATTTACGAACTGAAAAAAAGTAACGTAATCTCGTTAATATATAGTTTATTAACGCATTCGATATTTATATTGCAGGTGGTGCCATTTGAATTCGCTTCAATTGAACGCCGTTCGATTTTTATGCGAGGCATTGCAGATAACGGAACCTCGGTACCTCCTAGTACCAGCAGAGCTGATGATGATTACATAATCTCTTCATGCGATGTTTCAGCTGTTTGAATATAAATCTCTTTCTGCAGCATTTAATGGCATCATAATAGAATCCGGAAACCCAATACGCGTGCGACAAGACAAGAAGTAACAATGCGAAAAGGAGAGAGCGTGTTACATGAAACACTTTACGCACCGGAAGCAAGGTGTCGAATCTAGGATACACGTCTACGTAGAGAGGGTTCTGAGTATCTAAAAGTCCTATCAAATATCACATTATTCGATGGGATACTGTGCGGGGTTCCGTTACATCTTCTCTTTCAGATTGGTGAACATTCGCAATTCGGTTGGTCTCCATTTAGGCCTTTTTCCCTTTTCCAGTTCATCGGGTACGAGGAACTGATTGGAATTAACAATTTATAGGAGCGCTTGCGGCTTGCGCATGTGAGGAGCGAGTAATGGTGCAAGGGAACACAATGAATTGTGGATTTAAACAGTGTAATATGTAAATAGGAAATTCCTCTATTGTTGTGTGTGTATTCGGAATTGGTAGGAACTGTGGAAACTGAGTCCTGACTTCTCCTCCACCTCCTCTTCCATCCAACACATTAATATTACACACACACACTCACAAATGCATGCACATACAAAATGTTTATGTGTGTTGTTGGTGCTGGTTGCTGCTGCTTTGCTTTGCTTTGCTTGCTTGTACAAGGCGCTATTTATATTTGCCTCAGTTGCTCGTGCGACCAAACAAAAGGAACTGTTAAAACGGCGCTGAACAATAGATCACTTTCTTTCAATTATAAATGTAGAATAAAACAATAACGCAACGGCCACGTTGAATAAAACGAATTTACCCTACCCTGCTGCCACCTCCAACAAGCCACACACGCAATGTAATTGCACAGAATGTTACTTTACCAACACAACATTTCCAGTCGACAAGACAACCCTGCTGCTCCTAATTGTCTCAACTAAGTACAAATAGCATAATGTAATCCATTCAATAATTCATCTGTAAACTGTCAAGTATTGTCTATATTTAATGATTTTTGTAGTCTTTAAGAACAATCTTGAGAAAAAATTATTTCAAAAACTACATGAACGAAATCTGGTAAAATGGTTCTTATATATCCATGGCAGTGGATTAATTTAGGTCCTTATTTGCATTTATATACTAATTAAGAAAACCAAACTAGCACCTAACGTGTTTCTAAATATAGGTTTATAAATCGATTTTCACTGTCACCGTTTCAATAATTCGAGTATCTACAATTTCTTAAGATAAAGAAATTTGCACGTTTCTTTTCCTCATCTTCTATATAAAACTGAAAGAAAAGCTATGCCTTTAAGAGTACGAATTGATGTAGGATAGTTTAATATGTAATTCAACAATCCAGAATCGTTCTGTAAACTAGCAGAAACGAAATCATTGTACATCGTAAAAATAAGCATTATTTTCCATTAGGTTAATTAAACGTGTTTACTTGATAATTCAAAGTGTAATTAAAAATAGAAAATTAAATACTTCTACGTTTTGCGCTAATGATAACACACAAATTAATATAAATTAAACGATGGAAACGAAACAAAACAAAAACTTTTTTGTGACCATTTGTAATTATTGTTTCACAGATTAATGCTCCGAAGAAGTTGCCAATTCGATATCGGTATTAACCAATTTCCAAGAACCTCAAGTATAAATATAGAACGCGTATGTGTGTCGGTAAATGTGTTTTTTTTTTTGTTACGAAAATATTACCCTGGCGCCGATCGTTCGCAGTTAATTCATGTTAACCGTTCTACACAGACCACTGTAATTGGAGGAAAGTCGCGACTCAAAGACGACATCCGGCTTCCTACAGCTCTTACATGCATAAGCCGTTTCCTCGACGCAAATTGGCGATTCCTGCAGATGGCTGGAAAACGTGTGCAAAATGGATTCGCCAGAAGAAGGAAGAGTTCTTTTATACATGTATGTGTTTTTGTCTGTGTGTATGAGAGCTTGTACGTCCGAAGAGCAATAAGAAATTACGATGTGGAACCCAAACGAGGCTCGACTTCATTCTGTCGGCCTTTTCTCACGCTCCGGTGATGTGGCCCCGGTTACAACATCAACAACAAAACTGAAAACAACTTCTTCGTCGTCATTTTTTGTTACCTACACTCTGCTTCTTCCTCTCATCTGGTTGCTGTCAACGGCTTTGAACACAACTACTGAAATTCCGTGATCATGTTTTAAGGCTATTTGCGCATTGCACGAATGATATATTTTTTTTTTGGTTTCGGTGCGTTGGTTTTTCTTTTAGATGCGGCGAAGATGGGAGAGGTCTGATCCCTGTGTGGGCAGAGCACCTCACGCTGAGGCGCTGTGGCCGCATTCTTCCTCACCGAGATGAGCCTCCTGCCTGCTCCTCTACCTCCTCCGCGCCTCTCTCTTTCTCTCATTTTGGTCAATGCAAGCGACGTGAGCACCAGACGGCCTTCAAGAATAGCGCAACCCGCGCCCCCTCGGCATCCTCGAGGTGAGTCTCGACGGCCACCGCAATCCGCCTGCTCCTCCTCATCCCATACACACCTCCTCCGTTGTACCTTTCCCATGGTCACTTGACCTCCAGTACCCTCCGACGCCGTTATGAGACCACCGCCAAATAAACGCACTCTTCGTGTGACAATTAAAGAAATACAAGCGTTATTTCAACGAAAAATCCTTAAACTTTCTTTCGACGAAATTAAGAAACATCATGTTGCCACTGCGAGCTCGAACGAACAAAAACCTGACGAAACGATTCACACGCCCTTTGAACTGAACGTAAAACTTACGCGACATCTACGTGCAGAATATATACACAACCAAACTTCAGATATTTCGGACATGTCTGAAAGATACTTGTCAAGTAACGCGTACTGAATAAACATATAATGTTGAACAATCCATGAAAATAAAGATAAAAATAAAACAAATGCGCAAAATCACATGCACAATTATTTGTCAAAGGTGTCAAAATAAAGTAGCAGTATTTTGATATTTAATCATTTATTAAGGTCAATAAGCAACCTTATATATTTCCTAATTGTATATGTGAACAATTTGCTTGTTATAGTTTGTAAAATATCAATAAAATCCTTTAGAAGAGAAAACACTAAACAATAACATCAAAAGGATTCTTCTTGAAATAAGATACCAACAAGTTATAAACTTTAAGAATAATAATTTAAAGTTTCAGTTTCAGATTACAAACATTGTCCAAACGGAGATAGTTAAAAAAGGTTACGAACAAAGTTCTAAAACTCCAATTAAGACTTATTATACAATAAGGTAATGTTGAAGGAAATACGTAATATTAAGATTTACTTATAATGTGTTTTTTTTTGAGCAGAAATGAATGTGTGAGAAATTGGAAAAATAAAAATGAGAACGTAAATGTTATAAAGCAAAACAAGCAATATTCTTAATTATGTTGTTTTACTACACAATCCAGTCTTTCCTTTACGGTTGTTAAAACAAGGTTATTAAATTTATCAAAGAATTTAAATAAATAAAAACGAGTTTCTTTTTTTCCTTTCTTCCATTACTAAAAATCATCTACGGGGCACGTTGCTGCCTGTCTATACTTGTGGTCTCAAGGACCGCGCGCTTATGCAAGGAGCACTTCTACAATGTGTATAATAAATGCATACGTTGGACCTTCGAATGATGCGATACTTTGTAGATTCTAAATCGCGAAAAGACACTTCTATCATCTGTATAAATAAATTCGTTGTAATGGACTTTGTAGAAAATGTTGAAAAGTTAAAGAGATCAGAGTGAGCTAGCTGCCAAAATGCGAGTTTGTTTATTTTTTCGATGGATGAGTTGTCTGGAAATTTGTTGTGTCTGCTGGTATTGTAAGTGAATATACGGTCAGTTATTCCTCTATTATTTTAATTCGTATTTAAAGGGGAAGCGAGAGTTGCGTCCTCTGCTGGCAGTCTACTAGGTCTAGGTCAGTCAGCCAGCCGTCGTGCCTCCGCCTTTCAAGGCTATCTTTGTTTATATATACAACACACACACCTTTCCCATGCACACACACACATATATGATACTCACGACTATTCCTGCACGCATACACATACAAATACCTGCTTGCACCTAACAACACGAAATGGTCAGGTCTTTGGTTGGAGGAGGAGGAGGAGGAAGAGGTGGTGGTAGTGGAGGAACTGAAGAAAGGAACGAGCTCCAACATAAGAAGTCCATCCGTCACGCGACTTACCAAATCGATTCGCCGCTTGTGCAACAACACACTTACATACATAGAACATAGAAAGATCTTTTATCTCGTTCTCACACCAATCACATTTGCAAATATTATTTATGCTTTTAATAGGTCTAAATGGCAAGATTAAATATACTTTGGCCAAGGCCGCATACGAGACCATTTTATGTGGCAGAAACAACTCTCGGATATTTAAACAGTTGCTCTGTGTGGTTCTCTACTTTTTT